CCCATGCTGAGCTTCTTCTTGGTGCAAGACCGCATGCACGTGCCGGTGTTGCCCTGGCCGCCAGAGGTGTACGGGTAGTCGCGCTCCACACACATTCCTTCGCTCGACATGAAGTCGAGACCGTACCACGGAACGCCTCCCGAGCACCCGTTGTTGAGGGTGGAGCAACTCACCACTTGTTGTTCCGACAAGTCCAAGAGTTCCCCCGTGGAGAGGCAGTGCGCCGACTCCGCAGTACCGACGGCCGAGAAGGCCCAGCACGACCCGCAGATGCCTTGGTCACGCAAGGGGTTCACGCACTTGCCGCTGGTCCAGTCCACAGACGCCGCCTTGACGCTGCTGACATTCAGTTCGACGGAAGGAAGGGTGAGGACGGCGTCGAGACCATCCTGAAAGGACAAGCCGAGCACGTGCTCTTTGAACTCGTCTGGCGTCATGAGGGCGTACGGGTGGTTGTAGTCGAACGTGGCATCAGGGTTGCTGCGGCTGGCCTCCTCGATCGCGAGCTTGTTGTTGTAGAAACGCTGAAGCGCGTCCGTTTCGGCAGAGTGAGGCATGAGACTTTGGGCCTTGGCACCGAACTCCTGGCGCCACGTAGCCAGCTCCTCGCGGAGTTGCGTGCGCTCGTCAAACGACAGCGTCATCACAGACTGCTTGGTAGCAGCGGCAGATGCAGCAGCGAGAGCGGCAACCAACTTCATGGTAGTCGAAGGTAAGAGATCGCAAATTCAGAAGTGAGTAGTAAGGTTGAATTCTATGAAGTCTGTGGGTTGTTCTTGTCAAGATAAAAACCTGGAAATCATCGTCTACTTCTCCCTAAGAACGCTCCGTAAGTTTCACGTCTACAATATCAAAATTGCACACGCCGGCTTGCGGGTTGTGCGCAGGAAGGGAAGTTGCGTCGTAACCACAACACTGGTCGATATACGCGTGTCCTCTAGAAGTCGCCCGCCTATTCCGCTTTGCCTCGTTCAGCATGCGTCGGCATCGTATTGAATGCGCCTCCATTCTGACTTGGAGGGGGCGATCTTGTATCCAACACGATGTGATGGAGTTGGGGCTCGTGAGCGTTCTCATGTGGAGGTTCGCGACGGTCGATAGAGTTGCCCTTTGATGTTGGCAGGTTACACTTCAGTTGCCCATACTCTGCCGAGATGCCCTCTGCGACACTTTCGAGGCCCGAGTTGATTCAAGCTCTCCGACTCCAACATCGACGACGATTGCTAACCACGCCCTTGTCGCTGATTCCAGAACTCAGGTTCGTGCACTGGAAAGTGATGGCAGCACGGTGAAATACTGTAACAACTACCACGTCGGTGTCGCATAATACAGTGTGAAAAACTCGCAAGTGTTATACTCATGAGTATTTTCGAGTATTTTGAAGTTTGTATGCGTGAAATTGGGCCATGGTCCGTGAGTGAAAAAAGTTCATGGAAGGTGGTACCCATCTACTGTAGTACATAATTCTCAAAATGAGGCCACAGATTAGCCAGTACACTATTGAAAATATGCAATTTTTACTATGCACGGGGATTGACCGTACCCTCGCCACTCTTTTGGCAATCAAGGACGGTCGGAGTATACAGCCTGGAAAAAGCTGACACCACAAAAACTGCCGACCACCTCCAAAACATGAACTGTCTTGTAGAATTCTACCACCTGATTACTTCAATACCAGTCACAAAATGCCTTCTCGAACGGCTTCAACCACGTTTGCTATGTAGTACGAGGTATTCCCTCGATCGCACATATCGCAATGGCGCTGAGTGTGCTTTTTTGTACTTGGAGGACCTGAACCCTTGCCTTTTTTACCTGTGTAACGGTGTTGAGTGCTGCAGAAGGACGGAACTAAGCACTTCAGTGTTTGAAATTGACCATGTTCCGAATCAACCAATCAGAGACCTCCAAATATACGATAATTTTTGTCCAATCATAGACTGACAATGAATCTAAACCAATCAGAGATCACAAAAGTCGATTAAGAATATTTAGCCAATCATGGACTAAGGTGGTGCTTTTTGTGATATTGACTCATCCCACTGCAAATTTAATGAAAGTACAAAGCTTGCGAAATTTTTCCCGGTTAACTATAACACATCGGCTGTCTGCATGGGTGTTTGACGATCGCTCTAGTCGGATCGAAGTCGCGCCAGCTTCCTTAATTGCACCCGCCCTGGTCGATGTTGTACTGGGTGGTGGTAAGATTGCGACCTAGAGGCAGAACACTTAGGAGCGCCCAACGCTTCGGTACATGTACGGACCCTTCTTCGTGTTGCGATCCCCAGACACGTACACTGTGGCAGCAAAGCAAGCTCTACTGCGCGAAATGATAGAAAAGTGATTCACATGCCAAACGTTTTCGTACCATGTACTTCTGAGAATAGTCGTTCCACCTGTCCTACAAAACTTCGTAACATGGTTTGTCGAAGTACGAGGCGACACCACGTATACTGTACTTCCTCTGTCCTTCAATACATTTCCGTATGACTTCACAGTCACATCAACCCCGAAAATTCATTTCTGCACCATACAGTATTCGATGAAAAATATCATTACATAAAAGCATTAAAAACCACAGGAGCCGTCCATTGGCTGTCGAGGGCTAAATTTAAATTTGTCGCCATGTGCCAAGCCTCTCGAGATATATC